ATCGTTCATACCCCTTTTCAGATCTTCCCCCCGCCGCTCCTGGCCATCCTCTATCATTGTAGCTGCCTCGAACAGCACTCGGTTGCTATTTTCCACTGCAGCATTTCTCTTCCAGCCCTTCTTGCTCGTTGCCACCACCCGGAATAATCATCCCTTGTTATCTTGCAGTCCGCTAATCCGCCTCTTCGTTGTCGTCATCGAAAAAACAAGCATACTGTTTCCTTGTTGTCCCCTGGTTATTCCAACCTTTCCCACCACGCCTGACACTCTACTAGCCACACCGCTTGCCACACTCGCTGCCCAGCTCTCCGCTTTGCTGTCAATGTGATTTCAGCCCCTCATTTGTGATGTCCCAACCATCCCTAACCCATTTCAGCCCCATACCTCTGCTCCCTGACCACCTAACAGATCACCACCCATGGATCGAGCCCTAGTGTGAGTTTCTGACGTGCTTTTTTCAATTTTTCTTTCAGTGTGTGAGTTGTAACAACCAAATTGACTTTCCAGTAATAATATTTGATTTTTCTATTGTTGTTTGAGTTAACTCCGGTATCATTTGGTATGAGAGCTAGTCTGATTCTAGTCTTATCCTAGAGCTTCTAGCATCCACTGATACCCAACCCTATCTCAACCTAATTTTTTTTCCTCACCCTACATCACCATTACACACCTCTTTCACCTACTCACACCCAAAACCTAGTCATGCCGCCAAGGAGATAATCGTCTGAAGTCTGATCAAGGGGAAATGACATGATGTCGTTTATGAGAAATTCACAAAGAGGTTTCCAGGGGATTTGTAGGGAAGATATACCGACAATTACAACAAAGGTTTGCTACCTTCGAGATGAGGCAATTCGAATGGGTCACTCATAGCCACAATGGTGATTTATTAGATCGAAGAAATGGGGTGAATCACTTTTATCGTGCAAATCCAGGGATGAAAAACCTTTACCTCGAAATGTGACCTAAAATATCTGAGAAACTAGAATTTTGAAGTGCATGTCGATTGTTCATATTTCGACAGTCATATGGATTCAGACGAATTTATCGAGTGGCTTAGGACTTTGAAATATGTCTGTGTGTCAGGACGTCCGAAATGGTGCAACTAACCGCCAGCAAATCAAGGAAGAGTTCATCTCAATGGTGAACAAGCTAGAAAATTCTTTCACAACGAGAAGGGAAGAATAAAATTACTAATTAATCCAAGATGAAACGAAAAATGCAGTGCCAGTAGTACAGACTAGGCGTTTATATCCTGGCTTCAAAATTAGAGAGACCATACCATCAGGCAACAATCACACAAGGCAACTTCAGATAAAAAGATTTTAAATTTTTTAAAATATATAGCCTACATCTTGAGTTACCCCTGTTGAGTGAGATCCAATATATCAGAGATGATAAGCTTTTGAGCAACTTATGGAAGACCATATGAAGTTATTTGGGTATGGGTATACAATCAAGTCAGCATTGTACCCAATGATAGATGATCAGATAGGAGGGATGACCCACAATGTTGGAAATTGTCTTAGGAGCTTAGCAAGGAAGAACATCCTACAGTGGGAGCCAGGTTCTTTCAGAGACTAAGAAAAAAGGGCCTCTCCTAGTGGTTATAATTCAGTGTGGTCCAACCAACCATGATTTTACTCTAGAGTTGATTTCTCCAAACATATTTATTTTTCAGATATACTCGAGTTGATTTCTCCAGACATACTTATTTTCTAGATATACTCAATTGAGTATGAGGAGTAGAAGAGAAAAATTATATATTTAATGGCTCGAGAGTTACCTTGTGAGAATCTATGACTATATAAAGCTCCAGCTCAGGTTGTGCCAAAGGAGGATAGTTACTCATTCTATCAAAATATGCTTTAGAATGGCAACACATACAGAAAGGACTTACCGAGAGATTGCAGCATTTATGTTACTTTCAATGGGGTCGACCTGACTACTATAAGGAAACATCAGCTTTGACAGAGGAGATCGAAGCTACCCCAATCTAGGAGCCTGACAGGGTGTGAAGGTCAAATAAAGCGGGTGCGGGAGACGGAATCACGTCCCGTATATTTGGACAAAGCAGAAGGCAAAGACCACCTGGATTAGTTCGGTCAAAGTTCTGGAAGAGCCAACCGGCTCTTCCAAAGGAGAGTATTGTCTCTTTCAAGTAAAGAGGTCTATTCCTCGCCATCTTATTATTATATATTTATCTTTCTAATATTTTAGGGTTAGTTTTTTGAATTTTTTGTTTAAGACAGCCGGCAGCGGCCTTTCGTCTCCCTTCGAGGGTTGTTTCCAAAGAATTGGCTGATGTTCCAGTTGTATCTCTCTCCTGAGATGATGATTATCTTCCCTATCCCCTTCTGCATCTTCCTTACGATGCTCCAGGCCATCCTCCACTACAACCACCACGAACGAGACTTGTTTGTTATTTTTCACTACAATTTTTCTATTCTAGCCCAACTTTTTTATTTTCACAGCTCCGCACAACTCAACCTTGTTGTCCTACAGTCCCTCGCTTCACCCATTTGTTTTTGTCATCCAAACAACAATAAATCCTTTGTTTTACTATTGTCCCCTGGTTGTTCCAAACATTCACACACTCTTCTTGCGACCACAGTAGTAGCTGCCCTCACTGTCCCGATCCTACATTTTGCTACCAACACAATTCCAGCCCCTCCTTTGTTGTCCCAACCACCCCCAACCATTTCAGCTAGGAATGTAAACAATCTGATTTCAAGCCGAGCTCAGTTGGCTCGAATAGATTTCGTGCAGCTCGAAATTGAGTCGTGGCTTGTTATATTCAATTTCAAGCCTAGCCGGCTCGATATTGAATCAAGCTCAAGCCAACTCGAAATTGAAATGAACTAGCAAAAATTGAATTATTTGGATCAATTTCAGCTCGAAATCGGCTCAATCCGACTCAAAATTGAAAGTAGTTGGCTCAAATTGAGTTATTTGGATCCATTTCATCTCGAAATCGGCTCGTGATTCGTTACATTCAATTTTACTCATTATATATATAATTTTTATAACTTAAAAATACTACGATTCAATCTTAAGTCAGTTCGAGCCGATCCATGCATGGCTCTAAATCGGCTAGAAAAAATTTTGATCCAAAGCTTCGGCTCATAGTTCATTCGTTTATTTCAAGCCAGGCCAAAATTCGAATTGATTTTCAAATGATTAATGATCTTCAAGCTAAATTTGCAGCCCTAACTTCAACCACCTAATTCTGCACCCCGACCATTTAGCCATTCTCCACCACCCATGAATCGAGCCCTATTGTGAGTTTGTATCGTGTTTATCGTATTTATCTTTCAGTGTGTGACTTGTAACCGGCTTGTAGTATGATTATTGATTTTCCTATTGTTATTTGGGTTAACTCCGGCATTAGATCTTAAGACACACGGATTGAGGCTATATATCATCAGATTTATCTCTCTATAACCCTCAGATTATAATCTGTGTGCTTTCCTAAAGAATTATCGGCCCTATTTATTTTTCCCTTTTTTTGGTTTTATTCCTACTTTGTAATGCCTATGGGAAACGTATATATATCTCCCCTCTTGTACATAGAAAAATGAAGACTCTTAAGAATTTTGTTATTGTTTTATTTTCTACAAAATTCCTCCTAAAAGCCTATATTTATTACTTTTGTTGATTTTAACCAAGCTTTTGTACCATGAATTAAATCAATGAAAGCCAATTGGAATATTGCTATTCATGTTGTTGTACTTTTCCTCAGAGTAAATTAATTGCCTCACATTTATGTAAATCATCTTAATCGCCATATTTTATATGTTCAGGTATTTACACTATTGGAATATTGCTATTCATGTTGTTGTACTTTTCCACAGAGTAAATTAATTGCCTCACATTTATGTAACTCATCTTAATCGCCATATTTTATATGTTCAGGTATTTACACTTGTGTAACTCAAGTGTTTGTGATAAAACTGAAATAGCTTTGTAGTTGAGTTGTTTGTTAGTATTGAGAATAACAATAATAAAATTATTCACTTGCATAAATCATTTATACAACCCCTTAAGCTAATTGTGTGTTGTGATTTGTATATGAACAAATATCAGTCAACAAAATTTTTCAAGAAAACTGGTACTTACCTTTCCTTCAACACGCATCCCTTTCACATGCATCTTTGCCCATATACCAAAACCCAACCTCTTCCTCAGTTTAACTGCAATAACTGCACTCATATCCTCTGCGGCCAAAAAATTTAATCCTAGCTCTAGGAGCTAGAACAAATTTGTTTTTTACACTTTGAAAAAGTTTACTCCAAAAATGAAGCAAGGATTGGACAGAAGAATAAGAAAAATGCATACCAAGTGATCATCATCAGCGGATTCACGATGAACCCGTACCTCCGTAAACATGGGTGGACTCCTGCCCAAGTATAGATGCTGAACAACTGTTTTTTTCTGAAAATCATTTCTGGTTAATGTATGTTTATCTATGGGAAAACTTTTAAGGAAGATAACTTTCATAATTTTCAGAAAATGTGAACAGATAACTTCCATTATTATTATTTTTTTTGGTAAACATAGATTGTGGATTTGAACTATAAGCTTTTAAGAAGCTCGAGTTATGTTGCATGGCCAGCAAGAATAAAATAAATAAATTTGCCCCATAAAGAAATCTGGAAGAATCTTAGCGCACTAGGATCTCATTCCACTCAACTAGACTCTTATGGGGAGTAAAGTAGTGATGAAGAAGAAGCCATACCGCAGTCCAGGGCTTGAATTTGTCTAAGAACCACGGTATGATGGGTAAAAGAAACTGTTGTGACGCAATTTGTTCCAGACATAATGGCCAGACCTTCTCAACTGTATGATTCAACCATGTCACTGATTCTGAATCTGCTAAAAGCTGGAATGGAAAAGGAATAAGCAAAAAAAAAATTCCCTAGAAATAGCAATAATCCAAGAGAAAAATGACAATTCCGTGCATAGAATGAGAAAAAACAACGTTGTATGAGTAGCATAATGTAAAATTTCAGACCCTTCGTTTGTTGGCTTGTTTTCTTTCCTCGTTCTGCAGCTTCCTCCATAATCTTACTGAACATCGTTCATTCACCTAAATGTCATAAATACTCAGAAATTCCATCTCATCATTGTTGACAAGTTTTCAGAGATTTAAATTTTCAACACCCAACTAAAAGTTAAATCACTAGAACAAAGCCAGATCAGCAGCTAATGCCCGAGGCACAAATATTTCACTACCCACTCAAGATCGCATCAGATAAATAAACTTCAACTAGCAGGATAAATGGAACAGAATCATAAAGTGTTTATTACAATCTCCGACAGTGTAATGGGAGAAGAAATACGAATATAAATTTTCAACACCCAACTAAAAGTTAAATCACTATAACAAAGCCAGATCAGCAGACTAATGCCCGAGGCACTAATATTTCACTACCCACTCAAGATCGCATGAGATAAATAAACTTCATAAATGGAACATAACCATAAAGTGTTTATTACAATCTCCGACAGAGTAATGGGGTAGAAATACGAATGAACCTCAACAAAAGCAAGAAAAAATACATCCGCGATCCGCCCCTGTACCACAATTCTGTATCTAGCGTATCCTACTCTACCAAACCAAAGCAGAAAACGACGTCTATCAATGACGCGGAAAAGGGCCATACCATGCAGAGATAGAGGAAGGAGATGAAGAACGCGAAAGGATGGTATAGGTCGAGTTGGTCCAGGATGTAGAGGAAGAACAGAACCACAGCGACGTGATACACAATGGAAGTCTCCCCAACGGCCATCGTCGCCAGCGCTAACAGGATTGAAGTTCGATAACAAGGAAGAAATCAGATCCGATCTGAGGCTTTACAGGAAGATAAAAATTTGGGATTCACTCGCATCGTTTGAAAAATCGAAGCAACGCGCGCCTCTTCATTGACCCGAAGAAGTGGTCGAAGGAGCGTAGTCGCAGTGAGGAGTCGGCCATTGTTCACGGGAGAGCGTAAAGATTAGAAATAAGGGATTGAAACTTGGGCATTAAATGCTGCATTTATTAAATCTAAATATTATTAAATTTGAAATGATATTTAGCACAATTAAGAGTTTGTTTGGAGTTTGTTTGTGCATCTGCACCTTATTATTAATAAGCTGTTGACATGCAACTGATACAGATAAGTTATGGTGTTTGATTTGTGCTCTTGAAAAACAGTTGATTTACAGTTGTTTCTGAAAAAAATGACAATTTTATTTTTATGCAGTGATGTTATTTGCAACATAACTGTTATAGCAATATATTTAATACATGATAAGCAAAAAAATCATTTCAAGCTGTAGAAAAAATAAAATAGACACATCACTTAACAGTGAGTATCAAGTGTACTAAAAAAAGAAAAATACTATTAAAATTAGAATTAAAAATATGATAATATTAATTTTAAAATTCAGAAGACGTATGTCATGTGCTACGTAATCCTCCAGGGATACCGTCCAACTCCGATCACTATCCGTAGTGGAATTTGTTGGACTGTTTGGCACCGGATGAAATCACACTTCTTTGTGATGCCCTGCGAGTACCTATAGAACTGCCTCCTGTAGCAAAGTATCTAGCATGATGTTAGTAGGTAAGTCTGTAGTCCGCAGCGCAGAGCACTCATCAGAAGGTCCCTGAAATCCTGGAGCTCATTTTTCTTAAATGATTGAAAAGACAATCTATTAGTCATAACATAAGTTGAAATTACTAACAAAAGTTGAAATTGCTAACAAAAGTAATTAATTGTTGTTTTTTGCAGGTGTGAGGTCTCAAGAACTCAGTATTTTAACCAATGAATCTGTTGCTATAAGAAGACAACAGACTTTGTAAAAAAAAAGCTCTTAGTTGTCTTTAACTCACTTATTATCAAGCTCCGTGTATGTCACATATGCATATCATAAAAAAAAGTCATCCAGAACTACTTAAAAAACCATGACATTGAAATGAAGAGAGGAACTTGGTTGTCTTTATTAGAATTTAAAATGTGACACCAACCAACTACGATTAAACGGACCATCCAGAAGTACCTCAAAAACTCAGTACAAAAGAAAAAGAGAAACTTGGTTGTCTTTATCAGGATTTCACATGTGACACCAACCAATAGTGATTATTAGGTCATCTAGAATAACCAACAAGGTCGAACGTCTCATCATGTACCTCACAAACCCATAAAAAAGTACGAAAATGAATCAAAAAAGGAGAAAAAATAATTACAAACAGCATAAAACTTTCAATATCTCAAATATCAATAATACAAGTGACATAAAATAAACATAAAATTTATAAAATAAATAAGAGTCCAATCAACATCCAATAATGACGTCTGTAATCTGCTCTCTCAAATCAGGCATTTACGCAGCACATTCGTCATCCTGGGTGTAACCTTCTAGTGATTCCACTTCTGGTTGAGGTATAGATTATCCTACGTGATATTCAAAAGCTTTCGACGGGACCTGTGAGCGGTCGTCATCAGCAATGTTGAAGTCTACATTAGCTCAAGAATGATGACGTTAAAAGTAGTTGTGGAGCGTCAGTGTGACCAATACAATCTGCACCTATTTTGGAAATGGATATGTCATCATATCACGTAGTATAATCCATTTCTTATTCACACTCCAAATGCTCTTTCAATTACATTGCGTAAGGAGCGCCATCGTAGCAGCTCCATTTTTTTCTTTTCTCCACCCTAGGCCTCTTTAACTGACATGTGGACTTCGGCTTTTTTTAGTTTAGGTTTAGGTTTCACCTGACTCACTTACCTACTCGGTCTCCAAGTCCTCCGGTATGCTTGCAAACTCATGCTCACTTGGGGTGAACGCATGTGTTCCCGTTGCAACGGTCCCACTGAACATACGGTCCAAATTCTCTTCCAGCTTTGGCTCAATGCCACATAATTTGAGTTTCTTGTCGATGGCATTGCCTGCAACATATGAGTAAGTTTATTACTTAAAGTAGAGTGGAGGGATAAAGAATGGAAAAACAAGTCTTTAGGGGTTTTGTTAATACCTCTAATTTCTTGATTCATCATTCCTCTGAATAATCAATAGTCCGTTTAATTGGATCCCAACCTAATCCCGTGGATCCCCGTTAGTTCCTTCTATAATTTTCAGTCCTTCTTCAACTTATCACACTTGTTTTTAAATTGCAACCTATCGTAATCCTGTTTTATCATTTCCTTGAAGTTCTTCGTAATATTTTGCTACTGTTCTTTGCTAAAGTAGGTGGTGAGTCTATTTCCAATCCCAACCTCCTTAAGACAGAGGTTGCAAAATATGTTTGTGACATCTCTATCCCACATGGCCGATGCACCGACTTCTTTGGTCTTAATCACTGTGTTGTTAAACAAAGAAATGGATCAAGAAAAAAACTCACAAAGCCAGTAAAACAAAAAAATAGGATAAAAAGAATAGTTCCAAGAAAAACAAACCCCTAAACTAAGAAAATAAAAACCAAAACAATAAAACACAAGAGAGAAACAAATTGAAAAAAAACTGATGCAAAATAAAAGAAATCCTCAAATAAAACAACCAAACCCCAGCTAATCCACAACCACTCACACACCAATAGCCACACACTCCACCACCAGCCACCCCAACACACCCTCCACGACCCCTCCCCAACCTCAAAGAAGCACCCACAACACACACAACTACATCACACACACACACACATACCACCCAACCATATAGATGGCCTCAAATAACATGACTCCACACAATCTCAAAGAAGCAAGCCCCACACAACACATATACTCACCCTCCACGGCTTCTCCCTAAAATAAGCCATAAAACTATTAAAATCCTTCAAAATGTCATAAAATTTTGTTATTCTTCAAAATGTTTTGATATCCTCTACCTCCAAACTGATGTTGTTCTATAAAATAGATAAATCCAGGACTAGCAAAAATGGTCAAGTAGCTATGGTGAAAGGGTCATTAAGGTTATAGCAAAAAGAAAAAGCAGACCCGACAAACTACCTTGAACACCACATCATTTTTATAGTACTTTTACTACTATTAGTAAAACTGGTTTTTATATACATATTCTGATTTCATAAAATAAATAAAGAAGAAAATTAGCAAAGAAGAACCCACAACAAACACTACTAATTTAAATAGAAGATGAGCAATTAGTCATACTTTGATTTGTAACACCAAATACTATTAATTCATTAACATAAACTATATATGTGACATGCAGACATTGTCCTGCCCTTAGTAATACTAGTGTAAGATTGAATCTTGTAATTCATATTCATTAACCTAAAGAAAGCATCCATGATAAATATGAAATGATATGTAGTTAAAGCACCAGTCTTGAATAGCAAAAGTTTAATACCAAAAAAAACACATTTAATACGTTTAAGATTTAATCCAATTTATGAACATAATAGCAATTATTTTATACCAAGAAAGATTTACATTATCAAATGCCTTTTTAAGATCAATTTTAGTACATAACTGCCTTTGACTAAAGGAGAATTTAAACTCATATAAAATCTCATTTGGAAGAATGAGTTTATCTACACAACATCATGCCCTTAAATGAAAGCAACTCGAACTAGATGAATGAGAGATGGAAGCAAAAGCTTTATTCTATTTGTAATTAGCTTTGAAATAACCTTATTAAATGTACTACAAAGTAAAATAGCTCTACAATCATTTTTAATTATTGAATGTTGTTTGATAAGTATAAGACATACTAAAGAAATGCTTCATGACTACAATAAAAAAGGAACCAATCATAGAACAAGTATTCTTGAAAAATTGAATTAAAACCATCATTGTCTAGAGCTTTGTCTCACCCTATACTCAAAAGAGCATTTTTAATCTATCATTTAATGAAATCAAAAAGTTATGACATTCTTGAGAATTACACAGGAAGATAAGTTTGCAGTACACAGGAATATAAGGAGAGAAAGATATTGGTAAATCACTACTAGGGGAGATAAGTGACAAGTAGCTTCCATGCCAAAAGCATCTTGAGAGCAAACAATATATTTATTAGTAGATGATTCTCAAATTCAGTTTTTGTTGCTTCTACATCTGATTCTTTGATAGAAAAGTTTAACATAATCATCTCCTTTAGATAGCCAATTACATTTAACAATTTATTTAACCCATCCATGTTATCATTTTGATACCTTAATCAAGCAATTTTGGATTGTAAGAGCTTCATTATGAAGGTTTTTACAAAAAGACTGAATTTCCAAATCAAACTATTTTTGCACTTGTCCAAACCTCCTTAGATCAAATTTGCTAGCACCAATTAATCCTACTCCAACCATTACATCCAACATCACCAAGAAAAAAAACATATGTTCTTAGCAGTTTAATGTAGGCGAAGCCTAAAAAAGAAAACGAGAAAAAAAGAGTGAAGATCACCCATTTTATTTGAACAAGATCTCCAAATCAAAGCAAAGCCATCAAGAACAAAACCTCCTCAAATCTCAACCAGATTTTCCAGATGAAAACCGCAAATGAGAAATCACAAATCAACAATATGTAAAATCTTGCAAAAAATTACAACACAGAGAGCCAAAATTTGCATGAGGAAAGTCGTTATTCCATCGACAAACGCATAAATTTACAAAGCCAAAAATTTCTTGAACTTATAGAGCAAATTAACCAGAGCACCAAGTGAGAAGGGAGAGGAGAAGGGCAATGCTAAGGTCGAGAGAGACGTGGGTGAGGGAAATCAAACAATAGAGACGTGGGATCAAGTGAGAGGGGGTCAGCGGGGGAATATCTCATTAAAGGAACCCGGGTCGCTAGGTCGATCCCACAGTCACGTTTCGTCGAAAAAGGATGCGTCTTTTTACGATGACCCCACACGACGTGTTTTCCAAATGCCATTGCAACGCTTTCAAAACGCTGTCAATGACAATAAGCTGCCCCAAAAATATGCTAAATACAATTAAATTTATTTGATGTGTTTGACATAAATATATTTAAAATATCTT